GACTTTTTTGTCCTCAGATCATCATTAAAGGGAAGAAGGGATAGTCAAACGGGGGGGAAAAAATCCAAGTGTGTTCCATTTTTTAAAAAACTGAATAATGGTGTAGCTAAAGCAGTCCAAAATAAATCTTTAAATACAGAACAATAGCTTGTTATTTCACAATAATATTCTGCAGGATCATACTTTCAAGCACTTAAATCACAGAAGTAATAACATTTTTACATCAATATTATATGCAGGTTAAATGTATAAGACATATAAGATCGTAAGAAGATTCCTCAGTCAAAATGCTATCTACTATAGCTCCCAGTAGCAACCAGAAATCTCTGAGAAGACCCAAAAGTAGGATATGTGCATATATCACCCAAATATAAAACAACTGCTAATCAGAAGCAAATTAAGCACCTATAATCAGGATGAGTGGAAAGTATCCTTAGGCTTTATCAGTCATAGCTTATAGAATTTGGTGTGGTCCTGGGCAATGAAGAAACTCTCTAACTGTTGCTTGAGTGGCCACCCATTATGCAGAGTGGGATAATGCTGGGAGTGTAAAAGAGAAGCAATCTGTTTTAGAGTGGATATTAAGATAGGCTAGTTGTCTAACTAGCATTTCATTGAGGGCCGCATCAGCACTGCGGTTGCCCTCGGGGGTGGGTGGGTGTGGCCAGAGTGGGTGTGGCCTACTGGGTGGGCGTGGATGGAGTGGGTGTGGCCTACTGGATGGGCATGGCCAGCTCTACATTGTTCACATCAAGGGTGACTGTGGGGCCTGGGCAGGAATGGGACAGATCTGAGGGTCTCTGGCAGAAGGGGGTGGAACTGGGGCAAGCGCCAAGGCATGGTCCATTTCTTCATTCCTCACAAAGGGTGACACCTCCCCAGCATGCACCCAGGGGGGCGGGGCCGACAGCAGGGGCTGGTTCCTCGGTGCTTCTAGATGGCCTTGTGGAGCTAAGACTGAATGCATTTCAGCATAGATGGCCACCACAAAATTGTACATTGGCTCCCGGCCGGCCTGGGCCAGGGCCAAGGCAGCAGGGGCTGTTCCCTCACTGTTTCCAGGATGACTTCGCGGACCACATGAAACCGCATCCAGCCCCTGGGCCTTGTGTTTGACATGTCTGATGTAGGGTATGCTTACCACCACAAAAATAACTATTTCCTTGAATGTCTGTTTCAAAGATCCTTATGGAAGATAAGAGGAAACCTCTAATGAACAGGACAAATATGGCCCATATAAATGTTTCACCTGGCCAGGCAACTCCTTCTTCTCAAGCTGTACCTCTAGTGAAATTTCAATACCCAAGTCCCCAGAAAGAGTAATTAAAGACTTTTATCTCTAATTACAGATAAGAATTAGAGATATTAGTATTCAAAAATGTCTCCTAGCTGAATTGCTCACAACAGAAACGGTTTCAGAGAACTTCTGTAGGACGATCTGAGCAATTTCTCTATACCCCTTCCTGTGCACAGAAAAGGACATTTCTTCCACGGGAAGAAAAAGATTATGGATGATTGCAATTGTTCATTTTCTCAAGTCTGCCTTTCTTTATTTCCCCTTGGTTATATGCCCATTCAGGTAGAAACTCTTAAGTAGCTAAAAATTTCCCAACACAGTAATTAGGTTTAAAACAGCTCAAATTAAGTAAAACCCAATCCACTTCGCACCCTCTATTCCAGGAACAGCTAGATTCGTACTCCTATTTTATTCCCAAAGGATTCATGGAAGAGTCAAGCCTTGATTATCTTCTGAAGTACTTTAATTCCAGAGGTAGAGGGCCATGATATTAAAAGCTCATCTCTAGCTCCCCTCTCATTGACACTCCTGAGAAGGAGGCATAATCTAACCAGAGGGCAGAGGCACGCTGAACAGGCAACCTTAGAGACACCTTTATCCAAAGCCATAAAGGGCATTCTAGATCAGTAGTTCTCAACCTTTTTAATGCCGCAACCTCCCCCCAACCGGTCATAAGTCGAGAACTACTCAACCGGTCGTAAGTCGAGACTACTCAACTGGTGCAACACCATTTGTAGAATGGGACTTTTGGCGGGCTCAGCAGGGCAGAGACAGCCTGGACAATTCCTATTGGCTTTTGAAAGCCAATAGAATTAGATTCTATTCAAGAGAGTCTATTCTATTGGCTTTCAAAAGCCAATAGAATAAAAGGGAGTAGCACAGCTAAGGAAAAGGGGGAAAAAATGGCGGACTGCCTTGTTTGGCGACCCCCGTGAAATGGTCGTTCGACCCCAAATGAGGTCCCGACCCACAGGTTGAGAACCACTGTTCTAGATCATAATCAGCACCTTGAACTGTATCCAGAAGCTTATTAGTAACCAATGCAACTCCTACAATAACAGTCTCAAATGGATAGGTAAGGCACTATTCATCAGCATGCAGGCAGCTGCATTCTGCAGCTTTCAAATGATCCTCAAGAGAACTCAGTGTACACCAAATTTCATTAATCTACACTGAAGTGACAAAGGCATGAGTGACTTCCAATGTAGACTCTTGTTCCAAAACAAGCAAAATCAGCGAATAACTAAAGCTGTGAAAATAATCTCCTGTGACAGTCTCTATCTGCTCTTTCAGTAGGAGCTAGGATCCAGGAGAGCCCAGATTGTTAGGCTGCTCTACAGACATTTTGTCTAGCATCAAAGATACATTTCTTCTAGAATATGAAAGCTTCTGAATCAACAGTCTCTCCATCTAGTTAGGGTTGAATCTAAGTGTGTTTCTCCTCTCCAGATTATAACAGAGGTCATACAGAGAATCCTATAACATGGAGAAAAGATGGCTGCAAAGATAGGTGGACAGACTTTCAAATATTTTCTTATGAAAATTATCTCTATTTTTTTTTTGGCCTGGGTATTATAATCTCTTATTTGAATCAATCTGGCTCAGCATTCCAGGTAACAAAGTGATACTACTAAAAAGGGAGTAAAATGCACAACATTCACAAACAATAGCACAATTATGCTCCAATCTGTATAGTAGTCTGGAGTGAATAGATCTCATCATTTTAAATTACAATGCACCAAATAGAATTCCCTAAGAATCCCCAATCACTTGATTGCACCTAAGAGTCAAAATAGCTCCTTGATATACCACATATGCAATGAGTTTCACACATTCATCCATTTTATGACTTCTAGTCTAAAAATAATAGAACAACTGGCCAGTGCGTTCCTCACTTTATATTCACCAGAAATAAAAATGGGTGCATTCTGCCTATATATGTAGTTTTCTATATACTTTTTTTGATAAAATAAAGGAATGAAAATATCATAAGAATAAGTGGCAAGACATGGGCAGCACGCCTGAGAGCTGATTGTTCCATTAGATGAGTCATTATGAAAACGAGAGTATTTTAAATACTGTAGCAAAATATCTATAGTCCGTCATTTATTAGTGTATATTATTCCCTCTTACACTCATTTTAAGATCAATTTTCTGATTTATTTAAGATTACTTATAAACTCAAGAAGTTTTCATCATTTCATTTCTGTCATAGGTTTTACAGAAGACTGAAATGTTAGTTTCAAACTCAATCATTTGGAAATATAATTCCTATTCCTAAAACACAATTTAAGAATGTTACTATAAGTACATGACAAATCATTAGGAAGCTTTGCCTTCTAGTACCCTTTAAGCTACATGAATAAATTATTTAAAAAAATGAACAGTTAAATAAATGCATGTATGCATATGTATTTGTTTTGTTATTTATTGTTTCTTTTATTTGTTAAATGTATAGAGTGCCTATTGTCCAAGGAGTTCAAGACATGTATTAGCACTTCTTTCTCGTGTTTTTCCCATAATTATGTTGACATAGATCAGACTGAGAAAATGGCTAATCTGTATACATTTAATTAATCAATCCCAAACAGAGATCTTCCATGGCTGACGGAAGACTTAAATCTAGGTCTCCCCAACAACCTGACTCTCATCCTTGTGTTGGGAAAGCAATCCATGAAGAATTTCCTTTATTTCAGCATGCACAACAGTAGTAAGTGAAATCTTCTTAGCAAAGAAATTATCTCAGCTCCATATATAAAATTAGTATACATTTAGGAAAACATTCAAAGATAAATCAGCAGATATTTAGGAAATTGGCATGAGAAATTAAAGATATGCTTGGGAAATTTTTAGAGAAAAAGGTACACATCAATAGAAGAGAATATTTGTAGTTCAGTGTTGAACTGTGGGTCCTTGGTACTCTCTAAGTTTGGTTGTTTTCTTGCAGACATTTCTTGCAGATAGCATACTGATGATGTTACCTAGTTTGGTAATGAAACATCTGCAAGAAAACAACCAAGCTCAGAGAACACCAAGGACCCCAAGTATATACCAATGGAGGAAAGCAAAATGGAACTGTTTCATAGGCAGCATAAAAGAAATACACATACTATAGGACACCCACGTTATGTGTATTTAATCCATAATCTGATGATGGTTATGCATGTTCCATGCCAATCCTCATTTGCTCCCACTTGCTGAGAAGTCATGAAGTTAAGTAACAAATGGGCATATGCAACACTGAGCAGATAAGATTAATAATGACTGATGGGCCTCTAGTCTACATCATACAATTTTTAGATACCCAAAGCTTCAAAAGCAATGTGATGTGTTGCATAGTGTGGAAAAAAACGAAACAAAAAACCCATGGCACTAAAACTGAAGGATGAAATTGAGCTCAAGACAATCCATGAACAGAAGGCTTCACTCAGCAGAACAGAAAGTAAGAGGATTCCTTATTTAGTGGGAATCCAGAAAGAGCAGAGAAGGAAACTGAACAGTAAGTACATTTGCCCCGATTCAGTTTTGCTGAATGAAGCACTCTATGGAAGACGCTCTTCATTTGGATTGTCTTCCTAATTTCAAGTCAAAGTAGAGATTTCATTTAAGATGAACAAAATTAAAACATCCCTATCTTAAACGTTAACATTTTTTAACAGAAAATCTGCCAGTTATTACAAAAGGAAATAAAATGGAAAATTACCCTAAAAGACATTTCAAGATTCTCTCCACCCCAGATATCCATTCCTGCATCGTATGTTCCTATCTCTTCAAAGTAGTTTCTGTCAATAGAAAATAAGCCACCAGCCATAGTAGGGGTCCTAGTTGAAAACAAAAGAAAAAGGAAAAAATGGAAAAGGAAAATATTTTTTGAAAGATACTTTGTGGAATTTAAATAAAGTGATACTGTAGCACATATCTTCCAAATATATATAGACAGAATTATATTTCATTTATCAGAAGTTGAAGGTGTAGTATTAAGTTTAATAATGTTGAACATTTTCATTTTCTACCTGTATTCTAAAAGTAGCCAATTCATGCACACATTTAAATTTCCTAAAAAAATATTTCTTTTAAATTATAGTAATATAATGTAAGAAATGGAATACTGCATCTTTAAATAAAATCTAAACTTTTAAAAGTGATGAATTACCAAGAACACAATTTTATAGGCTTATAAATGTCTGAAAAAAACAAACAACAAAAAAAGACCAGGTAATAATCATGTATATACAACTGCCAATAATCCAATGTCTGAAAATGTTCATTATTCTTTTTAAAACATTTATATTTAATTTCTATAAAATCCTTTTAGAAATGTATACATTCTGCCAAGCGCACAGATTTTACATTAGGACTGCATTACTGAAGCATTAGAATAAGGAACCTGCTGTATTCCATTTGATGGGTTTGATTACTTCATTCTTTTGAACAGTAAAATATGCATTCTAAAATCAAAACTGCACAGCAGAGGATGCAACTATGTCCAACTTTAGTCAGCTGATTTTTATTGAATTCTATTGATTTATCAAACTATATCAGGCACACATTTTGATGAAGCAGCATGTTAGAATTTTTTGTTACGATACAGAGAGAACTTGCTAAATAGAAATTGTTTAAAGAAGCAGGGTGAATAATCCCTATGGTCATAAAGGGAGGAAATGGGTTATATTTCCTTACTTTTGATAGTACCAAGAGAAGACTTTCATTTATAAACATACAAAAACTCATGCACAGTGACAAATGCCCCACACTTGTGTAAAAGATCAAAACATAATTTATATGAGTTATTCAACGGATTTCAGTGAAACAGATTCTCTTGAACTACTACATTTTATGTCACCCAAACAGATTTCTTTCAAGTCAATTCTGCTTTGAATGTTCTCCCTGGCCTCTAGAACAGACTGGACTGGGGGACAAAGGAGGGGAACCTGTTCTGTCAGCAGGCAGATTGTGCTGGAGACATTTCTTACATATATAGTCAAATCGTTGTTTGTTTACCCAGTTTTGTTTTAATAGCTTCAGTGGGTTCTACTTCAAGAACAGTCTGTTCCATCCATAGGCCTTGCTTCGTAACTGGAACTACAGATAAGCCACGCATGATGTGCTCTTGATAAACACAGTCCCACAATTTTATTCACTAGATTACAGGAAGCATTTATGTAACTATGCATTCAAATGTATTATCTTGACCACCGAGACTTATGTTTTCCTGTTCAAATGCAGCCATGGATCTCTACTTCCCTAAATGCATAAATGGGAAAACCTTAAAGCTAAATTTACATTTGTGCTTTTAGATCCATGGCTACATTTGAACAGGAAAACATAAGGGTTAGTGGTCAAGATAATAAATTAATTATGCTCAGTCTAGTGGTGAAGGGTTCAGGCTAGTTCAAGCTTAGGTACAAAGAGCTGGATGACTTTGGGCCAGTTACTCCATCTCAGCTCTAGGAAGAAAGCAAAGGCAAGACACTTTTGAAACCCAAGAAAAATGAGGGGACTTGTCTAAGCAGTCACCAGGAATCAATATTGACTCAAAAGTCATCAAACAAAAAGCTATAAGAAACGCTTAAGCAAAATATGCAGATCTAAATATGGCAAAGGGAATGTCAGCAGCCCAATCCAAGAACTCAAAAATAAAATATCAGAATAAAATATCAAAACCAAAGGAAAAAACTGGGAAAGGCAACAGCAGTATTCTCCTTTGCATGTTGAATCCTGGCCTCAACAACAGGCAATCCCTATTTGAGAAAATGTTGCCCCTTTCCTTTCCCCACTTAAGTATTTCCAATAGGGGAACCAGCTTTATTTAATGTCTGACAAATAAGCTGGGTTCCAACCAGGCAGCGAAGAAGGGTAGGGGAGTCTGTTTTTACAGGCCTCAATCTGTATAAACTGGGCAATTTCCAGTGCTTTCTCTGCAGATATCTCTTTGTCATCATCCTCTGGTGTCTGCCATTTGCCTTCACCCTTTTCTCTAACCCCCACCCCTGCTCTTTCCACACAGCAGTCTTTAAGCCTAGCCAGCACTTCCAGTCAGGATCTGTGACATACTTTTGAGGAGGCTGGGGGTTCCCCCTTCACTGAATTAAAATTTATAGAAGATGCCTACCTTATTACATGAAACAGTAGTAAAATATCTAGAAAGAATTGTTAAATAAGGACAAGAAAAAAAGTCTTTGCATACGATATAATTTCAAATTTTGTTGACAACATTTGATAATGATTGACAACAACCAAAAAAGGAAACAACCTTATGGAAGGAAAGAAAAAAGGAAAGGAGGGAGGGATGATTCTAGGTACTTGCAACAATCCATAAAACATAACTAAAAACAACTGTACCTTTTCCCTCAAGCACAGACCAAATATCCTCCTAGCTCCACTTCTATCCTGCCCAATGTTTGGGGGAAGAGGTAGATCTTCAGAGTCCTTTAGAGGCCTAAAAAGGTAGAGATCCCTCAGATCTCAGGTGGGAGGCTGTTTCAAAGGGCTGGGGATTTCACTTAACATAATCATGGTGGTGGTGGTAGTGGTGGTGGTGGTGATGGAGGAGGAGGAGGAGGAGGAGGAATCAAAACAAACTGATCACTGAAATGAAAGAACCTACGCTTTTGGGATAACAATACTTGACAATGACTCCAGTGACAGATTTTAATTCAGAGAACCTGGACTAAGTGATGGGACTGAATGGGACAAGAGCATTAATTTCCTAGAGAAGACGTCTAGAACACTTTGAGTCCATTAGCTCCTGTTCTATATAATTTCATTTAAGACCATTTATGGCCCCAAGGATCAGCAGCGGAATAACAGTAAAAGGATTTGACGACTGGGGAAAATTCATATTTGGTTTTTTTTGCATCACTGGTAACTCATCCGTTTTAATGAATATTAAACTTATACTATGCAAGCTTGAGACCTTTGGGCAGTAGGCAGATATAAATATTCTGAATAAATTATATTTCATTTCATTTAAACAATTATTGGCATAGCATAATGGGCCTCAAGAGATTTAAAATACAATTGAACTTGACAACCAAACTGTTATTCATTAAGGAAATAAAATTGGATGCATAAACCAGTTCTAAAATGTCACTGTTACTATCATTACTACGAATGGCTAAATGCTCAATTTTTTTTCTCTTTTATGTTTTCAAGGCTCAATAGATCAGTAAACATTATGACAAAATTCACACTGGCAGCAGCTTGTGTCATACGACGAAAGAGAGAGAGAGAGAGAGAGAGAGAGAGAGAGAGAGAGAGAGAGAGAGAAGAATTGTCAAGTAAAATAATACTTTTAATAACTTTGAAGAGACATTTTAAATACTTCAAATGTGAATGACTGTATATATCTGAAGGCTTTTTGTACCAGCAATTCAATGCAAGATGCTATACATCTCTTTTGCCTCTTGAGTGCCTTAAGATTTTATTCTGCCCATTGTGGGTTGTTTTTTTTTTTTACCAAAAGATGAAATTATTCAGAAGTTCAAGTTTCATGTTATAAATATGCACACGACATATTGTTTTCATCTATGAATGTAATGAAGGCTGGGGGAGGGATGAAATAGCTTTATATGAAATAACCATCTTTTTTTTCCATAGGTCCTTGCTTGTTTGCTTCAATTTCTTCTAAAATACTTTTGACTTTATTTGGTCCTCTTGCTCTGAGATCTGTTTTGGGGGAGGTTTCAGCTTTTACATGGCATAGGTCATTAAAGCTTCAGAACGCAATAATCAACTGCCATAACCCAATTAAGTGCAAGTAGTCCTCACTTAGGACAACAGTTGGGAGCAGAATTTATTTTGCTAAGCAAGGTGATTGTTACGTGTGAAATGCACCCGATTTTACGGCCTTTTGCATCACAGTTGTTAAGCAAATGAATGCAGTTCTTCAGGGAATCTCACAGTAGTTAAGCAAAAGCCTGTGGCTTCTCCCATTGACTTTGTTTTGTTGGGAGGCTGGCCAGGAAGGTTGCAAATGGTGATCGCTTGATCCCAGGGATGCTGCAAAAAGGTGTGACTACATCTCAGTTGCCAAACTTGTCTGAAGTTTGATCACATGACCATGGGGACGCTGCGACGCTTGTAAGTGCGAGGACTGCTCATAAGTCACTTTTTTTTAGTGTTGCTGTAACTTAGAAGAGTCGCTAAAGGAATGGTTATGAAATCGAGGACTACATGTAGATTAAATAATTGTGTTGCCACAAGCAACACTGGCTGAATTTGTCCAGAGTAGGAGATGACTGAAGCTGCTGGTGGTGTCCCAGTTTAATAAGATATTGGAGAGGGAGGGGCCAAGTTCCAAAAGCTCTACTTTTCTATCATGGGGCTAAAATGCCTTGAAAGATCATCTCCTTAATTAGTGCCTCCCCCTCTCCTTGAAAATAGTCTTCCAAAATTGGTATAGAGCAGGGGTCTTCAAACTTGGCCCTTTTATGACTTGTGGACTTCAACTCCCAGAATTCCTCAGCCAGGCATCCTGGCTCAGGGATTCTGGGAGTTGAAGTCCACAAGTCATAAAAGGGCCAAGTTTGAAGACCCCTGATATAGACCAAGCTTTCACAAATGAGAGCCCTAGTGTGCAAGTTGTTTACTATCAGCAGAAAATAGCATAGCTTGAAAGTTTGAAAGAATTTAACTTTTCCTAAACTATTAGGAAATATTGTGTACTGTGATTATTATTTTGGGTTTTGATTTTTTTTTTCCCAATGAGAACAGGGATCGCATGTTGGTATTTGAGGTTGTGGGCTAGTTTCATAGCAGGGAAATACTATTGCAATTTAAACTGTAATTATATTTACAACAAATGTAATAAATGATACAA